TAAAGTAATAAAAACAAAAAACAGAAGAATTCAATATACCTACTTAACAAAATTCTAATTAAATCAATTTAAATTAATTATTTAACTCTATTTCAAAACAAATTTTAAATCTAATTATATTAGGAAATGAAATAGCTAACTTCACTTACTTTCACAAGAAAATTTATATTTCATATCAAATGTATCCCATCCCCCTAAATTTGTATTCAAATGTTATCTCATCTTTTTAACAGTTTGTTCAAAAGTTCTTTTGTTATTGTCTTTTTCTTTATATTCATAATCCACTCCATTTATAACTAATTTCTTTCAAGCTATTTTCACACATTCTTCACGGAAAAAATGTGACTAGAAAATTTTACTAGAATATTGTAGTAGTAGACTTGTAGAAAAATACTTAACTTTTTGTAGAATATTTTATTATAATTTATAGTTAAAAACTATTCATTATTTTAGCAATTCAATTGACGAACAAAATGCTACAACAATAGAAAAAAAGACCACAATGTTTAGTATATTTTACTATTGTTTGTAGAAGTAGAAATTTATTACAATTATCTTAATTACTACTACTACTAACTTCTGTTAAAATTTGTACAAATAATAATAATTATCTCTACAAAAAATAGTAATTTTCTCTTTAAAAAATACTAATACTTTACATTCCTTCTTATGATAAAAATTCAATTTTGTTAAAAAATATTCTACAATATTGTAGAAATTCTTAGTCATGTAAATAAAACAGAATTCTGCTATTGGCCGACATTTTCTGACATCGACCATAAATGGTTAGACAGTAGTAGTCGTTCGCCATGTTCACAAAACAAAGCATGGTACATATATAACACATTATTAAATTATAAGCAGTGATGGCTCAAGAAAATTTTAATAATAACTGGTAAGTACATTTATTATTGTTTCTGAATAATTTACCTTTAGATAACTAATTTAAATAACCTTAGTAGATAATTTTAATAAAGATAATGATCGAATGTTGTGCCAAGTTCGATGATGTTTTCTCGATTTAATTATGACATACATACTTTCTCATTTTTTTAAGTTTTCCGACGTGGTCATTTAATATCCCAATCACTGTAAAGGTTATAGATATCACCGTTTTATAAGTATGAGTAGTTCAATAGGTATTAATTTTTATTTCATATTTTTCAGGTGCAGCAAAATCAACTGAGACTGAGGGAGCTATTATTACTGTTATTTATTACATAATGTAATTAAAACTATCTTTTTTATTAAAACAATAAATTATTTTATTAAGGAATATTTTTTCTAGGTTATAATTATAATAAATGTGAAATACTACTACAAATTTTATTAAACATTACTACAATTTGTTTGAATTTTTACTTTTGTGTAAAATTTTCATATTAATTTTCATGAAACGCAATACATTTTTAATATAAATTCATACAATGAATAGCAAAAATTAAAACAATTTGTAGAACAATTCTTATGATACATATGGATATTTTTACTACATATTGTAGATAATAACTCTACAATAAATTCTCTACAAATATTTGGAAATTTTTACTACAAATTGTCCCTATATGTACTATTTATTGTAGAGAAAAAGTCTATAATTGTAGAAATTTGTTCTACAATTTTTTTCCGCGTTCACACTATTTCTATTTATAATCCTATTTACTTCATCTTTTTATAGTAATGTCATTTATTTTTATATTTATTGTAAATCATCATCATATTTTATCTTCATACATAAAATATTTCATTTATCCTCTACTTAAACCATTTTCTTTCATAATCTTTTATTTTCTTTCTCTAAATAAACACTTTTTAAACAAACATTATTTTCTTCTTTAATATTCTATTCTCCTTACTATTTCTTCTTCATATATTTATAAATAGGTAGATACTTTAATCTTTTATTTTATGTTTGTTTAAATATCTCTGATCAATATATTCTTCTATTTATTTTTTAAATATTATCCAATTTATTTATCTATCAAGTTATTAAACTATCCTATATACAATATAATATTTTCTATTTCAAAAATTCATTTTTCATAATATATTTTTATTTTGATTCTCAAGTTTTTTGGTCCACCTATTTAAATTTGTCTCCTCCCTAAATTTAGTCCTTTCTCCGATAATCTTCTATTTTTCATTATCTTCCTCAATTCCTGACTATGTTTCATTTTCAGTTTCGATATATTTTCACTTTGTTTGTCAATAAATTTATTTTTAATACTTTTATATTTCTCATTCCTATTTACATTTTGTTTTTTATATTTGTTTTGTTAATTACTTTTTTCCTAAACATTTCTCTTCATTTAATTTTAATTTACTTTCCTTGTGTCTTATGTTATCATGTTTGATTTCTTCTCTTCATTTCTATTTACATTTTTCTTTCTATATATTTTTTCTTCAATTTTCTTTTTTCTTTAGTTATGCATACTTCTTTAATTTATATTCCTATCTCTTCAATTTTTTTTTAACTTCAATTTTTATTCAAATATTTCTTTCTTTATTTCATCTTTTAAAAACATTTGTATCTATTCTAAAATTTCAAATGTATTATCTTGTAAATTTTTAACCTCTATACTCCTGCCAGTCGTTTCCACTCTTAATTCTTCTCTTATTTCTTCCATCCTTCTTTCTGGTAAATACTTTGATTCTTTTTTTTTTCTTTCACTGATTCTTCTAATTTTTTTCTACCTTCTCTATCTCTTTTATCATATACTCTGTTATATATTTCTCTATTTGCTCTATTTTCTTTATAATTTGTTCCCTATCTTCTAACATTTTTTGATTTTTTTTTCTTTATCATTTCTCATATTTTCATCTATTTTTCTGTCCTTTCCATCCATTTCCTTTATAATTTCTCATCTGTTTAGGACCAAACAGGTTAATCAATCAAATTTTGACTGTTCCATATTACGTTATTAATTTCATCATATCAGTACAAGCGCATAAAAAAAGAGATATAGAATTAAAAAAATATAATACAAAATCACATTAGAAATAATGAATGTCACAAATTCTTTAAAAAAAATACATATCTCTAAATGAAATAGTTTCTTTCTTTTAATATATTCCAATAAATTATTTTTAAAAAGTCTAATTGAAGTACTAGCCTTTAAAAAACAGTTAATTTTTAAAATTTTGCTAATGTGTTATAGAACTAGGTATTTTTTTTAAACCACAATTTATGTATTTTTAGCGCACCTTGTACAACAAAATTAAAGTTTCTCAACGTGAGTTCTATTTATTTAACAAGCAAAAAAAATATAGGTAGTAGCCTACTTGTACGGAAATATGACAATAAATACAAGTACCTATAGTTGAGTCAATACATGGGTCACACTATATAGGTAAGTAAAATTTTTGGAAACTCTTTAATAAAAAAGCTTCTTTTGGAGTTTCGATTTCTCCTTACAAGCTCTTCGTTTGACCGCTTGAAAAAAATTATAATATAAAAAATTTAATTTTGCCAAGTCCGCAATATTTTATTTTTATTTACAACATAATTTAAGTTTCTCAACGTGAATGGTATTTATTTATCAAAAAAAAAATAAATTATAAAGAATAATTTTTTTTATTTAAAACATAAATATTTTTATGCAAGTTTATTCATAGACACACTGTATAAATGTTTATTAGTTCTTGTTATATACGAAAATTCACACTGAAATTAATAAACTCTTGAAAATATGATGGAGCTAAATTATTCAATATATTATGCATTAAAACCATTGTTAGATAAGTAATATAATCTTTATTTACACCCCTATTATAATAATGTCCTAATATGCCCATAATCCGTTTCATAATACCCATTATGATACAGATTTTTCATAACGATACAGATTTTTATAATCAAACCCCTTATTTTTTAATCAAGCATGCTGTGCATTTGACGTTTGTCCTAGGTTCCTATGTAATTGTTTTAGTTATCAAAATCAGTACGTATTAAATTTCCGTAGATAGCCAAACTTCGATAATTATATTATCAAAATGTTTGATATCAGCGATACAGAAGACTTACCATCCACTTACCTCCACACATATCGGAGAAAGCAGAAAATGCAGTACAAAATATTTTTTCCCAAAAATCTATGGTAACCGAGGTAATACCATTAATTACAATTTTGTAGAATTTTTTATAGAAATGCGAGTAATTACTGTTATTGTGTTAAATACAAATATATTTATAGTTCTTGATTATTTATCGGGTGTAGAAAAAATAGCGTATGCAACTCTCATGTAATAGTTATTACATGGTCGTTGCATAATATAATATAATAAATTTAAATTCTATGTAAAAAATTAAATATGAACTACCGGTAGTTTAATATTTCTCATACCACGATTTTGAAGATTTTGTAATTGGGCAGTTTAATTAAAATACAAAAAATATATATAACATAAAAGCTTTTAATACTACACCATAATTATAATAAGTTAATATGCAAAAACTAAAAAATTCAAATAAAAATTAAGAAAATATGTTGGCCTTCGCAATATGTCCAAAAATTAGAAAGCTAGGTATTTATTTAATAAAATATTTTAAAGTGATATTTATTTTATATATTCCATAAATTTATAACCCTTTTAAGATTTAAATTATAGCATAATATCACTTATTTATCTGATTTTAAATATTTAATAAAAAAAAGTAACAATTCAATAAAATTTTCTTTTTAAAACAACAAAAATATATTTATTCTGAATTTTTCAAAAATAATTTTCTTCAGCTACCTAATGCTGAAAATAAAACTTTATTCATCAAACCTCTTTTAAAAACCAAAACCACAACAAAGTAACTCAAGTGACAATTATAAATAATTACTAGGTGGGGACCCGTTTGCAAATTACACATTGTAAAATTTTCTAAACTACACGTGACAATCTTCCATTCACATCGGAGCTCTCCACCGAATCCAAGTAGTGGGGAGCGAATGGGCGGGGCCTTACTTCCCTAGACCGTACGCAACAGTTACCAAAACATCTGAACGTCAGTCTCGCAGTCGACGTTCAGCAAGTAAGACGTATCGATTTTAACTGAACGAACTCGCGTAAACTAAATGATTTAATCGAAAGACTTAGAAAAATTTCGCGCGACAGCTAAAAAATGTTATGATTTAAAATAGACCTAAACCGATTTTAAAATGTTTTGGGTAGTTGTTTTTAGTGTTTTTGTGACGGTTTTCGGTAGAAGTCTTACGAATATGGACTCTACTCCGAGAGGTTGTGAGTGGCAAATGCAACAAATCGACATCAACGACAGTGGAGAAGAACCAGTGCTTTATTGTCAAATTAGGACCATCAACAGTGTCGAGTTTTTAGTGCGAAATTTATCACAAACTGAATCCGATAGAATTTCAGTTCTTATGCTTGAATGTAACGATGTTTTATTTTTCGAAAGTTCTTTCGAAACTGCTCGACAAGGAAGTTTTCTTTCGTCGCTGAAGCAACTTAAAGATCTCAGAGTTGAAAATTGTAAGATTCGTAATATTCCAGCTACAGCTTTTTCACAAATTCGCCACCTGAGAAGACTATCGTTAAGATCACACAATTCGGAGTGGTCAGCAATGAACTTGGAACTTCATCCTGAAAGTTTCAGAGGACTAAGTGACCTACGATATTTAAATTTAGCTGATAATAATATTTGGAGTACTCCTGAAGAACTGTTTTGTCCGCTGTATAGTTTAACAAATTTAAATTTGACTAGGAATAAATTGCAAAATGCTTCCGCTCTAGGGTTCTCTGACTGGGGTAGTGGCCCTTTAGCACCTGGACGAGCATGTGTGAGCGGTTTAGAACTATTAGACTTATCATACAACGATATTATTTCACTATCAGATAATGGATTTTCGGCCTTACGATCTTTAGAAGAACTGCATCTGGAAAATAATGCCATATCAACTTTAGGAGACAGAGCCTTTGTGGGTTTAACAGCATTAACATCTCTAAACTTATCAAGTAATTGTTTAGTAGCTTTACCTCCAGAACTTTTCCAATCATCCAGAGAATTAAAACACCTTTATTTACACAACAACTCCTTAAGTGTTCTAGCTCCAGGGCTGTTAGAAGGTTTAGATCAGTTACAAGTATTAGATCTATCTTACAACGAGCTTACAAGTCGGTGGGTTAAAAGAGATACTTTCGCTGGATTAGTTAGATTGGTAGTATTGAATTTGGCTAATAACCAACTAACGAAAATCGATAATATGTTATTTAAAGATTTGTACACTTTGCAAATTTTAAATTTGGAACATAATACTATTAATTCCATAGCTGAAGGTGCATTTCTTGAGCTTAAAAATTTACACGCTTTAATTTTATCCTTCAATGCGATTACTCGTATAGAATCATATCATTTTTCTGGAATGTACGCGCTAAACCAACTACTGCTGGATTCTAATGAAATCGAATACATCCACCCGAAAACGTTCGAGAACGTGACAAATTTGCAAGATTTGGGACTGAATGGTAACGTTTTGGGAATGGTACCTGTGGGCATTGGGCAATTGCGATTTCTAAAAACTCTCGATTTGGGTAAGAACCATATCAAATCAGTGACAAATGCATCTTTTGAAGGCTTAGAAATGCTGTTTGGACTGCGATTAGTCGATAATCATTTAGTGAATATTTCTAGAGACGCATTCTCAACATTACCTTCTTTGCAAGTTTTAAATTTAGCATCTAACAAAATAAAATACGTTGAACAGAGTGCTTTTTCCAGTAATCCAACTTTGAAAGCTATCAGATTAGATGCTAATGAACTGACTGATATCAGCGGTGTATTTACGAATTTAAAGACGTTGGTATGGTTAAATGTTTCTTCAAATAAATTATTGTGGTTCGATTTTAGTCATCTTCCTGTAAGTTTAGAGTGGCTAGATATGCACGATAATCAAGTTCCAGAATTAGCAAACTATTACGATGTAAGAAACAATTTAAAAATAAAAATGTTAGATGCCAGTTTTAATTTAATAACAGAAATAAAAGAAAATGCAGTGCCAGATAGTGTCGAAACGTTATTTTTGAATAATAACAAGATTAGTAAAGTTCATGTCAATACTTTTAATAATAAGAAAAATTTGGAGAAAGTTGTGCTATACGGTAATGAAATCAGATTTTTGGATTTAGCAGCTTTAAGTTTAAATCCTGTTACCGATGATAAAGATTTGCCACAATTTTACATCGGTGATAATCCTTTTTACTGTGATTGTAAGATGGAGTGGCTGTTGAGAATCAATCATTTAAGTAATTTACGGCAGTATCCTCAAGTGTTAGATATGGATTCTGTGACTTGTGAATTGGCACATAATCGGGGATCGCCTCCACAACCGCTACTATCATTGAAACCGTCAAATTTTTTGTGCCCGTACGAAGCCCATTGTTTTCCAGTGTGCCACTGTTGTGATTTTGACGCCTGTGATTGTGAGATGACGTGCCCAGATAAATGTACTTGCTTCCACGACCACACGTGGACCTCGAACGTTGTGGATTGCAGTAACGCAGGCTATAAAACCGTCCCTGAAAAAATTCCGATGGACGCCACTGAAATCTACCTGGACGGTAACGACCTCGGTGACTTAGGCAGTCACGTTTTTATTGGAAAGAAAAAATTAGAGGTTTTGTATTTGAATAACAGCAACGTTAAAGCGCTGCATAATAGAACGTTCAACGGAGCCAATTCCCTGAAAATCCTCCACATGGAAAACAATAAATTGGCGGAATTACGTGGATTCGAGTTCGATCAGTTAGAAAACATTAACGAATTATATTTGGACCATAATGATATCGGTTACGTGGGTAATAATACGTTTAAAAGTATGCATAAACTCTCAGTGTTGAAATTGGATGAGAACAAAATCGTGGACTTTATCCCTTGGGAGTTGAATACCGATTCTCCCTCCGATTCTCATCCACGTGTTACTCTCGACGGCAACAGGTGGTCCTGCGATTGCAATTCTCTAAATCGTTTGGTATCGTGGATTCGCGAGACGGGCGGCGATCCAACAAAAATGCTGTGTGCGGATACATCTGAAACGGTCGCGAGCATCATAAGCCGTTGCGAGGACATGGACAATGCGATTGCAACATCGGTTATACAGCGCGAAGTTATGAAAAACCACCAATTATTCGGGGGCGGTAGTTACGTTCCCCTGCTAGCCGCTACCCTTGTAGCCGTCATCGTCGTTTGTTTGCTGGTAGCTATAATTTTCGTTTTTCGTCAAGAAGTACGACTGTGGGCGCACTCCAAGTACGGTGTACGGATTTTTCAAGATGGAGTTGGTGTAAATGATGGTATGGACGACAGAGACAGACTGTATGACTGTTATATGGTTTACAGTCATAAAGATGATGATTTGGCTAGTGGCGTTGTTGCACCTTTGTTGGAGCAATTGGGACATACGATGTGTCTGCATTATAGGTAAGAACTAGTTCTGCTAGAATTAATGAAAAGGCTATTCAAATGCAAAAATTTGTATGAATAATATCAATATTTATATATTGCAATTGATTTATTATTAACCATTGTTTTTTTATCGATATTTTTATTCTTGAAGGACATAATTTATTATTTAGTTACATTGATTTTCATTTTCTATCTACCTACATTAAAAGTGGGTAAATTGTATTAGAATCTTTAACCTTCACCTGGCATGCTCATCCTGAGTATTATAACATACTTGGACTCGTGGGGTACATACGAACCACAGTGATAAAAATCTTTGTAAAAATTGAAATATTGATTATTTTGTCTCAAAAAAAGTCAGAGATCCTCTTTAGATACCACTTCAAACTGTAGAATAGCCCGAGTTGAAAAAAATAAAGATCAGCGTTCATAAAAATTCGGAAAACTGGAAAACTTGAAAAAATGCATTTTTTCCAAAAAAAATTATAACTTTTTTGTTTTTCGATAAAAAGGGCTGAAATTTTAACTGTGTCTTCTTCTGTTAAAAAAGAATAATAATTGTTTTCATGGGTCTTTAAAAAAGGTATTTATTTTGAGAGCGCTATCCCACTGGCCCAAGTATAAAAGTATATCCCTTGACTACCGATAGATGTCGCTACGAGTTTCGATTTTGAAGATTTAGATACCGATACTCGACGAGAAAGAGTGTGGGGTATAAACGTACCCCACGAGGCCTGGTGAAGGTTAATATTTAAATAAAAAGCACATCTGAATAAATTTACCTTTTTAAGTTATTATTATGTTTTTATGATTAATACTTACTTCAAAAATTTACTAAGAAGAAAATAATATAACATTTATATACATTTTTTTATATGCTTAAAATATAGTCAATATATAAAACCAATGAAGGCAGCAAAGCATTTAGGGAATTTTGAGTTAAAACCTTTTCATATTTTTATGCTATTTTAATACCTTAAATTAGATGTCCCTCGTTTTTTACTAAAATCAACGTGAGCACCTCCATTTTTACGTTACTTTTTATTTTTATTTATTTTTTTTTTTTTTTAAACAACCGCATCATATTTTTAGGCTCTCTAAATATTGTAAAATATTTCAAAAAAAAAAAAATAAATTGATATTTTTGAAAAATACAGGATGCTTTGATAGCGTCGAACGAAGCCAGTAAACTACCGTGGATTTTTAGGCTATTTTAAGGCTATTGAAATAGGTCAAAAAAATGGTATTTTTAAAAAATGCAGGGTGCTTTACTAGAACAAAGTCAGCAGTGCACCTCGTTTTTTAAGGTTCTAAAAACAACCGCACCATAGTTCTATGCTATTTTTAAGCCCCTTAAATATTATACAACTTTTTCAAAAAAAATTGGTATTTTTAAAAAATACAGTTTACAGCGGTTTTTAAAGTTTTCTTCTAACAATGAGCAACACTATAGTTTTAGGCTTTTTTTAATTTCCTGAAATATAATAATAATAATCTCCCTATTATATAACTTTTCTTAAAAAATGAGTATTTTGAAAAATACAGGGTGCTTTGCAGTAACAAAGTCAGCAGAGCACCTCGGTTTTTTTAAAATTTTCTTTTAAAACCAACCACAAAATATTTTTACGTTATTTTTAGGCTCTTGAAATATTATAAAACTTTTTGCAAAATACAGGATATTCTGCTGAAACAAAGTCAGCAAAGCACCTCGATTTTTTAAAGTTTTTTATAAAAATAAACACACCATATTTTTAGACTCTTGAAATATTACAAAACTTTTGCAAAAAAATGCTATTTTTAAATAATATAGATAGGGTGCTTTGCTAAAACAAAGGCAGCATAGCAACTCGATTTTTAACGTTTTTTCTAAAAACAACAATGCCTCATTTTTAAGTTCTTTTTAGGCTCTTGAAATATAAAACATTCCGAAAAAATACGGACTATTCTGATTAAAGTTTTTTTCTAAAAACAAATATATCACATTTTAAGGCTATATAGGCTTTTGAAATATTATAAAACTATTATATTTTTAAAAAAATGATAGCAGAGAACCTCGTAATTTAAATCGTAGTTTTTTTTCAAAATAAGAAATAAATATAAAAAATTTTAAAAGGTAGAGACGAATAAATAAAAAAAAATCATTTGTGGATTAAACGTACTAGAATAAATTTTGTATTATAAATTGTATAGATAGATTGAAAATTAAATAATAGGTACCTACACTAATTTATTAATTTTTATAAATCATGGAACTTTTGGTCTATGCTATACGAGTATGTTACTTCATGGCAATTTCCAAAGATTACAAAGGAAAATTTCCATAGAATACATAGGACGATTTCCACATAAAAGATTAAAAAGCATTTGCAATAAGGGGGCAGTTTTTGTAAAAACTTTTGGTACATCTGTTATCGAAAGTCCAATAAAAATATTTTTCTATTTTTGACATATAAAGTGACATTTTTTGTAATCGCAGCAAGTGTCAGAATGATCTAATTTACTCAACCAGTTGCATAATGTTTAAAATTGTAAAATTGGTTGCAAAAATTCATTATGACACCAGTTGCGAAATGAAAATAAATAAAAATAAACAGTGAAACTTTATATCAAAGAAATGTACTGATAAAAAAAGAATTTGGTTAAACTTACTTAATAATAATGTTGTTTTGGTTTTTATTTTCCATTCGAAATCAGCACAAAATAAATGAAACAATAACCGACAAAATAATCCACTTTCTGGAAAACTATAGTACTTTGTGCTACAAGAGAGGATATGGACAATCCACTTAAGTGTTACAGTATATTTTTTCTACGACCCACTAACGAAAATCTACAAATATTAAAAATTATTTTAGGTTATTAAGATAAAATTATTAATTTATGACTTTTACTAATTTTTAAAATTAAATAAACTAAAAAAAAAATTCATTTAATTTTTCTTCATCTGAGATTCGAACTCGAGTCATCCGTATGGAGGGCAAGAACGCTGACAGAGGATTATCTAGGCGTTTATTTTATTGATTTAATACTCATAATTAAATTGACTTCATATAGTTTTATTTAAATTAACAAATTATTTATAATTATGGACGGAATAAAAATAGAAATTTTATATATAGGTTAACACAAGAATAACTCGTTTTAATGTATGTTTAATTTCAATAACTAAAAAATATACTGTCAATTAGTTTGACAGAATTGTTTAAAAATCTAAAAATAATAGCAGTCAGTTGATCAAAATATGAATTATAATTGGTGGATTTAATTTTTTTGCAGTGTTCTCACTACCTAGAATGGATATTAAATATATTCGTTCAGTTAAAGGCAATAGCATACTTTCTCATTTTGTAATCTGTGCGTAGATAAGCTAATGTCCATGTGGGTGTAGAAAAAATAACTTTATACAACTCGTTTAGAATAAATTTTCTGTTTGTCAGTAAAATGAGTAGAGTTATGTATATGCAACTAACATTACAAAAAAAGATTTATTGGTTGCCTAGATGTCAGTAATGTTTTACCAGAACACAATTTTATAAAATAATCTAGTCAAAATTAGAAAAAGTATTCACACGTTACATAAAATAAACATTTCGTAGCTGGTTGCATAAGTATCTATTTTAACTAAAACATTATAATTAACTATTTAAATGTGCTAATTTTTTCTATTTATTGAAAAGTTACAAAATTTTACCATGCTTTAAAAAAATATATACAGAGTAAGTCATAAGTAACGGGCCAAATTGTTAATGTACGTTCAGAAGGCAAAACTAATAAATTTTACTTAAAACTAATGGATTTAAGATTGCTCCTTCCTAAAGCTACTAAATGTTAAATTTGAAGAGCACACAACAAAAACGATAAATGCCACTTTTTTCTAAAAATGAGTTAAATACATGATTAAATAGCTGATAGTCTGTAGTATATACTGAACTGATTTACACACACAATAAATCTCATTGTAATGCAGGTATTTTGGAAAAAAAAAATAGTGTACATAATAAAAACGAATAATATCACTGTCAGTTTATGACGTACGTGAAGAAGAACAAGAAGAAGGAATGGGGAAAAAGTTTCGTATTTTGACGGATAATACAATGGTCCATAGAAGTTCCAGATTTTCTGACAGGTTCCGGAGATATTCGATAAAATCCGGAAAACTTCATTTTCGTTTTTTAAGCCGTGCGTTGTTATTATAAAAGATACCAAAACAAATTATACAAAGTTTTTGTTATAAATCAAGTTCCCTATAATCTGCCATGTCAAAATTTTTATTACGACGTTTCGTATTTCCAGGGCCACATTCAACTTATTTTTTTAAATACGGACCTGGATTTTTAATTGTAATTTTTTTATAGCTTTTGTATAGCTAAATACAACAATATTTTACACTTTACCATTTTACTACGTTTCGTCTTTGAATATATCATCAGCTATGTAGCTTTTGATGATATCGTTTCTTACTTGATTAAAACAAGATAGCTAATTAAATAATAATTAAAAAACAAAAAATTCTTAAAATGTGAAATTTTAAATGTTATTTGAAACATAATACAAGAATTATTTAATTACAAAATGGGTTACAATGTTTTATCAAACATGATTAAGTACAACCAGCAAACAAGACTAATGAAGAACGAATTATGGCTTTACACATTCTACAAATAATAAAGTTGAGATGAGGATACGGCATCGGTCTTCCACGTTCGATATGGGTGGGGACTAATTAAATTAAATTAAATTAAATCTTTTCTTTTTTCATGTTTATTTTACTTTTTAAATTAGTAAAATTCATAAATTATTTTAAAAATAGTTATTTTGTCTATTAAGACAAAATAACTATTTAGGTTATTAAACCTAAATTATTTTTTAAATTTGTAGATTTGCGTTAGTGGGTCGTAGAAAATATATACTGTATAATTCGAGTGCATTATACTATATACACGCTTGTTGCATAAACCACTATTGTTATTCTTATGTTTTCACTAAGGTAAAGTTTTATAGGATTAGTTAGGATA